GTGAATCGAAAGAGCAGCAGTGTGTCCTCCATCGCTGGGGCTGCCCTGTGCCTGTGGGCTGGGGCAGGAACCCACCAGCTTCCATGTGGAGCATGCCCAGGCCCTGTGTGAGGTTTGGGGAGATGCTTCGTATGGCATTTCCCCTTAGGCAGACGTGGTGCTACCTTGGGAAGCGCTTTGAGAAAGGAGCCCTGGAATCACAGTCTTCTGTCTATAACACTGAGATTGAATTGAAAAAAGTAGCACAGAAAGCTGGAGATGCTGGGCATTGAGGGATTCTAGCATGGGTAATACTGTCCAAAACGGTGGCTTTGGAAAGGCAGTGATGAGTAAATTAAGGGTTCAGTAGGCTGCTCATGCCTGGATCGGTCCGGAGGAATGGGCACTGGAGAAAGTCAGGGGACCCAGGGAATAGCTCCCAGATGTTCACAGAATCACAGAATGGTCGGGGTTGGAAGGGTTCCCATGCTCCAGTTTGTGCCCGTTGCCCCTTGTCCTGTCGCTGGGCACCACTGGAAAGAGTCTGACCCCGTCCTCCTGACCCCCACCCTTCAGATATTTATAAGCATTTCTAAGGTCCCCTCTCAGCCTTCTCTTCTCCAGGCTGATCAAGCCCAGCTCCCTCAGCCTTCGGGCCTTGCTTCCCCTGCAGTGCTGGGCATCGCTGAGCTTTGCCCTGCCATGGGTGCATGAGGTGGCAGCAGCCCTCACCCCAAAATAAGCTGCCACGTCCTCCGGGCTCTGCCCCATGCCAGAGGAGCCGAGCCGGGCAGCTCCGCCGTGACGCCCCGGAGTTGCGTCCACGCCAGCGGAAGGCGGTGGCTTGCCATGACAGTGTTTTTTCCAGTCTCTGGAGTTTGCCTGAGGAGGTTTTTTAATTTTAGTTTGGCTTCTTTATCCTCTCTGCCTTCCATAGATCATGTTCACCATCACCACAAGAGATCAGTTTTGCCATAGCAAAATACTAAAAAAAAAAATCCGTACACGGCAGCCAGGACATCTGTAAGTGCTGTTTGAAACCAAACGCTAGCCCAGAGTCAGAAACACCGAGCGTTCCGTGCTGCAGCACACTTTCCCCTGAGAGTAAAGGTGAACATTTTAGAGTTTCTTGCTGAAAGGCGTTTCTGGTTTGTGCATGCAGCGTGAGTTGTTTTTTTTTAACAAAATCAAAGGTGTGATTTATTTTTAAAGCGTTCTTTTTCTCTCTCTCTTAATCAGATTTTCTTTGTTACTTTTCCAGCAAAAAAATCTTTCTTGTTTCTCTACTTTTGTGGCATTTCTGGGCCAAATTCACCCCTGGCTGAAAGGGAAGCAGGTACATGATACAGCGGGTTGCATCTGCTTTCACCAGGAGTGACTTTGGCCCTCCGTACTAGGCATTAGTTACTAGAAGAGAACGTAACCCCCTCCAGTCGCCCTGCTATTTAAAAACCACTTGCGTGTGAGTGTGAGCGAACCGGACCTTGACTTCGGCCCAACCCTGCAATTACTGGCGAGCGGATGGCGGGGGTGGTTTTCGGGGGGGTCTCTGTGTCCTCCCTGCGTGCCGCAGGCTGTCGGCGGCTGGATTTCCAAAAACGCTCCGGCAGGTGTCGGACCGTGCTCAGGGGTGTCTGCGGGGTATTCGGGGAGCCTGAAATCATTCCCAAAGGAAGGGCCTTGCCTTTGGCTGTGCCTCAGCCACAGCCGACACCTCCAGACTCCTCCTGGGGGGGGGAAAGTCATTGCAGGGTTGGGCTAATGGTCGTAGCTGATCCGTATAATTTCATGTTAGTTTATAATTTCATTGTGGTGTTTGCTGCTAAATGCATTCGTGCTGAGTTCCAGGTGTGTTTTTCTTTCCCTTCTTTCTTTCTTTCTTTCTTTCTTTCTTTCTTTTTGTTTGTTCCCTTGTTTTTTTAATATCTTTTTCATTTCGCATAAATTCAGGAGCCTGCCGGCAGCCGTGCTCAGGGGGGTATGCATGTCTCCAGACTGAAATAACCTTTCGTTTCTCCAAACCTAGGATGGAAAGAGGATGTTTGGCACCTACTTCCGAGTTGGTTTTTATGGAACTAAATTTGGAGACCTGGATGAGCAAGAGTTTGTTTACAAGGAGCCGGCGATAACCAAGTTAGCTGAAATCTCCCATCGGCTCGAGGTGAGACGGTTGCAGCTGACCTCAGACTCTGCGAGCTGCAGTTTTAACTGGTTTGCCTCGGTTGTTTAAGAGCGGCGTTGCCAAATTGCTGGAAGTGGCGGGGGGGAAGGGGGGGGGGGACGAGGTTTTCCCTGGTCTTGCAGCGAGAGCCACAGGCCTGCTGTGATCATTCCAGAGTCTGTGGCGTATCATACGGCGTTTGCACTTCTCTTCGTCTGCCTGGTGTTAATGGGATGACCTGGGCTTGAAGAAAGGTTGAGATGCCTGGCAGGACCTGACTTGCAGAAAGTGTGGCGTTTTGCTGTCATTTTGTTGCCTTCACATCACATTCCTCTCGCCTAGAGGCTGGACCCTCTTAAAGTGGCTGAATTTCAGAGTCCCTGCAGTGGGACATCACGGGTCTGGAGTTTGCATCAGCCATGAACAAGCAAAGGCCACTCTGACTGATCTAACTGGGGCTTGGGTGCAAGCTCCAGGAACCACCCAGTGATCACCTGTACTGTGCAGTGGCGAGTCTGGCCTGGTTTTGTGCCAACTAACCTGTGTGTAGAGAACATCTTAGCACAATCTGGGGGACAGCATGGGTCAGAGGCGTTCCCAGTAAGCACTGGGGACAGATGAGGCCATCCCCACTGGGAGAGAAAGAGCGTTTCGCAGCGTGGCGCGGCCCAGAGCCGTGTTTGTCGTGCCAGGGGGCAGACCTGGCCCTGTTTTAATTCCTGGAGTAGATCTGATGCCCCGTTGTCGCTCACAGCCATTCGGCCGCTGTCGCGTTGCGCTGAAAGCAGCAGCGTTGCCTGAGGTTTCAGCGCGTGAAGCCGAGCTCAGAATGCAGCCACTGACCCAGCCCAGCAAAGCCGCGCTCTGCTGCGGCCCCTGATTGCCAGGCAGATCCCGTATTGACCCCAGCTTTCGGTTGAGCTCACAGACACACAGCGAGCTCGGAGGGCTGGTGCAGAGCCACGCAGCGTGTGTGCATGCAGCTGGAAGGCTCCCGAGTTCTCCTGCTTTCCAGGGCGTCAGGCTGGTTTTTTCCTGTTGCCTCTGAAAAAAATAATTCTAGGTGCATCAGATCTCATTCAGCCCCAGCACAGCTACTGTTATAGGCATGTGGTGCTTCACCTTCCCTGAATATGCCTTTGTCTCTCCAGCCCCCATCTCTGATGGTTTCTTTCAATGCATTTGCTCTTGATTGTAGGGGTTTTACGGAGAACGGTTTGGTGAAGATGTGCTCGAAGTGATTAAGGACTCAAACCCTGTGGACAAATGTAAACTAGACCCTAACAAGGTAAGAACACAAGTGCAGGTTTAGAAGTAGAACTGGTCCGAACTCAGTGGAACAAATCCTGCCCTGAATTTCACCAAGCAGGCAATAAAATCCACAAACGGAGCATCTCACGACGGCTCAGGATGGGAGTTGGGGAGAATCATCCCAGCAACGCGATGCAGAATTGGTCATTTTGTTCCGTGCCCCAGGCCCTGCCCTTGTAATGGTTGGTGGGAGGAGACGAAAGGACAGCGGAGGCCCAGGCTGCGTTTGCCTTTCTCTGTCGCCTCTGCTGAGTGCAAGGAGTCATGGAATCGTAGAATCATTTAGGTTGGAAAAGACCCATAGGATCATGAAGTCCAACCGCTAACCTAGCACTGCCAAGTCCAGCACTGAGCCGTGTCCCTGAGTGCATCATCTACACATCTTTTAAACCCCTTCAGGGATGGTGGCCCAACCCCATCACTGGGCAGCCTGTTCCAATGCTTGACAGCCCTTTCCGTGAAGAAATTTTTCCTAATATCTGATCTAAACCTCCCCTGGCGCAACTTGAGGCCATTGCCTCTCGTCCTGTCGCTGGTTACTTGGGAGAAGTGACCAACCCCCACCTTGCCACAGCCTCCTGGCAGGGAGCTGTAGAGAGATATAAGGTCTCCTCTCAGCCTCCTCCAGACTAAACACCCCCAGCTCCCTCAGCTGCTCCTCATCAGACTTGTTCTCCAGACCCCTCCCCAGCCTCATTGCCCTTCTCTGGACACGCTCCAGCCCCTCAATGTCCTTCTTGTAGTGAAGGGCCCAAAACTCAACACAGTACTCCAGG